TTATTTTTGTATCTTGAGGTAGTGATACTATAAAGTCTATCTTCAAGTAATATTAATTACCTTATATAGTAAGATACATATTACTGCCCTTTTCAAAAATTACCTCTAATATCGTGGAGGTTAGCTCTTTTAATAGGTAATTGCCTTTCGTTCGTGCAGGAGACTCCGTCTCCTTATTTTGCATATTACCATTAAAAATATATAATATGATGATAGCGATAGAAATACAACGAGCCTACTATATAAATAAATATCTAGCAGAAATAAAAAATAACAATTAATCAATAATTTTATCGAATAGTATGAGTTGACCATGCTTTATTTTTAGTATCACATAACGTCATTTGTTTATTTTGCGCAAAATTACAAAAACTGATAATAGTTTTTAAAGCTTGTAATGATCTCGGCATCAAGTGACTGAAGATGGCTTGTAGTATTAAGAGGTAAAAAGGCTACCTCAATATAAATTAATTGAAGCTGAAAAACATTAGAACTACCACAACCTCTACTGTGACTGCTACTACAACCTTTACTTGGTTCATCACCACGCCTCTACCATGACCGCTACCATGACCTCTAGTTAGTTCATCATTACAGCCTCTATCACGACTTCTAGATCTACTTGGTTCACCATCATGGCTTTCTGAAGCTTGACCTCCTATATTAAAAAAAAAATTCTAGTAAGTTAAATATTTAACTATTATTTTATATTTATCATGATAAACAAATTTTTTTATTTTTTATTTTTTTTATTTAATTTTATTATTAATTTATTAATTTAATATATATTTTTTTTATTTTTTATTTTTTTTTATTTTATTTTTATTTTTATTGTTTTTTATTTTAAATAATATTATAAATAAAAATATATATAAATAATATAAATTAAATAAACTAATAAACTAAATAGCTTTGCAAAATTAACTTTTTGATAATCTGATAATAAACTTTATATCTAAAGGCTAATTAATGAATAATAACGATAAACTTTATAACCAATAATCTATTTTCCTTTATAAAAACTTATTAGAGGTTGATGCAAATTCATTCTCTTCATTGGTGTTATCTTCATCTTGCTCATTTTTATACTAATTTTTGAAAGAAATCTTGGACACTTTACATTACCAATTACCTACAGTTTAAGCTTATCAATTCCTATTGCATTTGTATCAAGAAGAATTGTGATTCGTGTTTTATTTTTTTTCACCACAAACTGGCTTGGTTAAAAGGGTTTGATTTGAAGATATTTGATAATAAAGACCCATTTTATCAATGTTGTAAATTTTATCAAGAGTATACTAGTTTAGAAGTTGATGAAGCTTGATTCTTTCTTTCAAAAGAGATGCTATTGATGCACTTTATGTATTTGATACTAACAGATATTATTACATTTTTTGAAGCTATCTAACCCAGTGATGGCAAATTATAAGGTCTTTTGACTTGAAATTTATAATAACAATAAGGTCATTTGGGTTATTTCAAGATTATTTCAAGATCTTTTGCCAGCTCAGATCTAACCAACCATTGGAAAATACTAACTCATCTTCTTGTATGTTGAATGCATTAGCAAAAAATCTCACCTTCTCTTTTATTAATGAATCTGTTAAGATCACACCACTCGCCATTACACTTTCTACTCACAAACACATAGCCTATCAAGTTCTAAAAACTTAATTCTTTTATATTTGTAAATTTTCTTAGAACCTTCAATATCTACTTTTCACTTTGTGACAGTATCTTTGTTACTGTATTATAATAGATGTTTAAAGTTAGGTTTTTTTCATTAAAATGGTTAGCAATTTCTTCGTGTTTTTTATTTTTATTATTTTGATCATTCACAAATTTGATGCTTAAGGTTAACGTTTATAGCTAAACAGTATTGTTTAGGTCAGTTAGAAGGCATTATAATATTCAAAAATTAGAAAGGATAACTAACAATAATAATAGTAATTTCATTATGAATTACTATTTGAGTTAGAATAGTAAGGATATAAATTTGTTAGAAGAGGTTTGTTATAGATAATAAGGTCATTTGGAAATAATTTTGAAAAGGAGTTTTTAAAGGAATCAATAATATTTTAATCACTTGATATTTCTAATAAAAGCATATTGACATTTTAAATATCACTCTTTTTATTGATATGAATGATGTAAGAAAAAAATTATTACTGTAAAATGAAATGATTATACTATTGATTTTTTCCACTTTAAATATTTATGTAATACATTTCTCATTTTACATTTAAAACTAAGGTTTTATATCAAACTTTTTTGATTTACAGCTAATCAAATCTCTTCAATATAAGCTAATCAGAAATTTGTAACTATAAAAAGATCTAATTACTAATAAAAAATGAATGTATATTATGGATCATGAGATGATAGTGACTATAACTGATTTGTGATTATATAGAAATAATTTAATCTTTAAATCCATTCTACAAAAATGAGTTCTTATATAAAGATGTGATTATATACAGTGTGACTATATAGAAGTTTGACTGTATTACATAATATTAATAAGCTATTTGTATAGAATATTATATTATATAATAGATAGATTTAACATAATATTGCCCTAAAGTTTATAAGTAAATTTTCACCTATATGATCAGTAATATATAAATAAGCCTTACATGTCATTAGTTATATAGGTAAAAATTTATTTATATAAAAATTTTTTAGCAGTGAAAAATTCTAAGTTCTTAAAATATATAGTAAAATGAAAACAGAGAAGCGTAATATGAAATGACAAATTATGCATGTTTTGTGAGAGTGAAAAATCTTAGATAAATTGATAGATAGTGATTAACGATTAACTGCATATTGTTACTGGCTAAAAATTCATTATTGAAAAGTTAGTCTTTAAAGAATTATTAAATGATTTATATAAGTTATTAAAATTAATTTTATGTTAATCATGAAATTAGAGTATCTACATAATTTCTGATTTCTTTGATTCTCCTGACCAGCCTGATTCGCCTAATTAATCTGATAAATCTGATATTCATTATTCTTATTATATTCATTATATTTGTTATAATTATTATAATTATTATATTTTTTATATTTATTATCATTGATATATTTATTATTTCTCTTATATTTCATATATTTATTATTTTTAATTAAAATTATTAAAATTATTTAGTTTTATTATTAGAAATAGTAGCATAAAATAATTATAAATAAGATAGTTATTTATTGATGTAAAAATTAAGACTATAGTAATACTAAAATATTAATAATTCTAATATTATAATAAATTAAAATACAATAAAGGAATCAATGTTAAATATAAACATACTTTTTTTTTATATTCTCTATCTAAGATTTAATGTAATATCTTACACTACACTATTACTGCCTAAAAATTCATTATTAAAAAGTTGATTTATAAAGAATTATCAAATAATTTACAAAAGTTATTGGAATGAATTTTATATTAATTATAAAATTAGATGATCGGCATAATTCCTGATTTTCCTGATTCTTAAGATCTATAGTATTTTTAGAATTCTTAGATTTATTGGATCTACATGATCATTATGATTCATTAAATTTTTCTAATTTTCTGTATTTCTATTATTTTAATTATTATCATTATTTTTATTATTTTTATTATTATTATTATTTCTATTTTAATTATTATCTTTGTTATTATTATTATTATTATTATATTAGCACTTGTAATTACAAATTAAGTTAGTTTATAATAGCATAGCAACTAGTTAGCTGTAGCAAATTAATTTTGTATAAATAGAATAGCTTTTTGCTTAAGTTGTAAATTAACTCTTTTGTAAGTTCTTAAAATACTTGTGAGTTTCAAGTAATAAATAAAGGAATCAACTTTAAAAAATAATTACTTTTCTCTTCTACATATCTATTATCTAGGATTTGATCATGAACTACTACATTAACTTACTTTTGAGTTCATCACTTAGAATAAATAAATTCTTCACATTTCTCTTAAGTCCCTAAATCTTTATGTTTATAAAGTCAAGCAAAGTAATTCCAAGGTATTCTGGATATCTATAGGACGTGAGATTCCCTAATATTATAAAGTCTGACAATAAGGAACTTACTTATCACAGTAAAGTAATTTAGTGAAATACGTGTGATAAGAGAATTATTTCCAGTGATAACGCTATACATTTAGTTCATCAGTCATAATTTTTCTATTATTTTGTAAAGAAATTGTAAATAAAATAGAAATGTGCATTTTCAGTTCAAGAATTCAAGCTTCTTAAGATATCTATAGGATGTGGATTTTCTAAAGTCAGAAATTACAGAAGTTATCTGTTTTACATTATAAGTGACGTTAACTAAATCTTTAACAAAAGAAATAAAAGATTTAGATTTGATTAACAAAAATGAAAGAAATTTTTATGCTGATGATGTAATAAAACCAAGAAACATAAGTTATTCTATTTCACTAATTTCATCTCACTTTCTGATTTGCTGATATAATTAAATATGTTATTTGTCATGTACTATTAGAATTACAAATAAACATCACCACCCAAAAAAATCTCTATCTTTCAGATACTTAATAAAAATTGAAACATTACCGGTGATAAATCACCTAAGCTCTAACCTTAACCCTAATCATAACCCTAACCTTAATCATAACCTTAACCCTAACTAATATCAACTATACCAGCCAATCAGAAAGTGGGGGTAAATTAGTAAAACCAAATTTGTGAATGCTAAAACGCTATTTGGTACCTTTTTTTTTTGTAGTCGAAAAAAAAATTCTCATTTCAACGTTTTCTTTTCATCAAAAATTCTGTTACTTTAAATTTATTTTTTGAAAGAATAAATTGTCACGCTAGAAGTGAAAAGTCAAAGCTATCCATACACTGCGACTAGTTAATAATTAATTAATATATTTCTTAATAACTTTAAAGCAGTGATTGGTTTTGGACATATTTTTTTAATTTTAAATATTTTTTTGGACAAGGTTTTGGTCATATGAAATTGTGTCCAAAACCTGTCCAAAACAGTCCAATTACCTAACATTGCTTTAAGGATATTATTAATTTAAATACCATTCTTTTTAATTTTACATTGTTTTCTAATATAAAAACAATTAAACTATCATGAATTATAAAATCCCTGCACATGCAGAAATCGATAATTACTTCTTTACCAATCCTGGCACCTTCTCAATTTTTATATAGATTTCACTTTAACACTCAACCCACTTTTGACCAGTGTTGGTAAATGACATTGAATGACCTTATAATTTGCCATCACTGCTTTTGACGGAATAGGATTTATTTAGATCCTTTTCTAGGTCACTTTCTTTCATATAGAAAGACGAGCATGCCGGATTATGCAAAAAAGCTAAGAATGGCGGTTAAGGTAAACTTGTGTTAATTAAATCTCTCCTTTCAAAAATCTGATTACTAATCAATAATGTCATAATCGACAAATCAGTACTTTGGAATGATGTTAACATAGTTAACATAACAAAAAACCTTTAGACCATGCGAGATCAAGTAACTAAGTCGAAAGCATTGGATGATATAACTAATGCGATTGTTGGAAGTACTGAAACTGGAAAAGTAAAAGAGGCAGTAATTACGATGATGATGATGAGACTTCTTCATTTGGTATTGTACAAATATTTGTAATTAAAATAACATCGCTATACACTCAGATGCATAATTGAATGATTTATTACTATTTAAAAATGAGAGAAAAAAAAATAAATAATTGAAAAATCGAACGACCTAATCTATTGTTTAATCTTGAATGGGATCAATAAGTATATCTTTTCTACCTCCACCGGCAACTAGTCTAACTTTAGTATTTAGATCAAAAGGGTTCCCATCGTAAGCAACAAAATTAGCAATATTCCCCTTACTCAAGCCTTGTTTGTTTAATTTCTTTCTATTTAAATTGAAAATTTCTTCTAAATTCCAAGAAATTAAAGCGACAGCGTCTTTTTCGTCTAAAAGACCATTTGAATTCGTAACAGCCCAACCAGCATCCCAAACTAAATTTCTTGTCCAAGCAGAATTATGAACACCGATAGCTACTTTAACTTTATGTTTTACGAGTATTTCTATACCAGTAGTGTTCGTTATAGGAGAACCTATTAAAACATTTTTAGCGGTCCATAAATTAGGCACAGGTCTTGAAGGTGATAATACGACCGAAACATTATTTTTTGATAATTGTTCGGCAATCAAATGAGCTTCAGTTCCTCCTATTATAATTAATCGTAAATCACCTCCATGATTTGAAATTTGTTGTTTAAGTTTTATAAGTGATGCAATTTCATCTTTATTATCGGTATGGACCGCTAATGGAACCAACCCTTTTGCAACTTTGCTATATATATTTCTTGTAGTTGGTTTGAATACAGCTCTTAATAATGTTCTTCGCAACAATCCAATCTGACTTGATACCGATGGTATATATGCTAAAAGATAAAATCAGTTAAAAAAAGCTCAATCAAAAAAGCATAAATTTAAAGATAATCAATCGCTCACCATTTTTAAACGAAACACCAATTTGTACGTGAAGAGCAGTTTCTGATTCAATTATTGGTTCTTCATCAAGAACGGTATAAGAACCGGTTCTAAAAGCGACAGAAATACCATTGATCACACCAAATGATAATGGGGATGTGATTGAACAAAGAACACCGGCTTTATAAGCGGCTTCTAAATGTTTCCCACCAAATTTTAATCCATCTATAGCTTTTATTACTTGATCTTCACTATCCGGATAATTTATAATTGGCACAAATCCATCCGTTGTTGATGGTTCTTGACCAATCTCAATCAAACCTAATGATCCACCGACAGCTATCATACCCGGAAGTACATATCCTCCATTTAAATCGATCACTTCGGGGGGATTATGATTTGAAATGACACAATTACCAATACATTCTACCAACCCATCTTTTATTATTATGCTAATATTTTCGTCTTTAACAGATGAATTCTTAGGTTCAATAATTGTATCTTTATTTACAAAGATTTTTCCAATGTTATTTATAATGACCGAAGATGCGATTCTTTCCTTTCTCTTCACTTTATTCTTGATAGGTTCATTTTGAGCGGATGATCTTTTAGAACCTTTGGATTTTCCAGAAAGGACAGAATTCGGGGTATCAAATTGGGGAATTCCATCGATATAAACTTCTAATGGAGTAGCACCTAAACTAAGCGGATGAGAATCCCAAACGACAAGATCAGCATCGTAACCGATTGTAATTTGTCCGATACGATGATTTAACCCGAGTGCCCTCGCTGGTACGGAAGTGATTGATGCTATAGATAATTTCTCATCTAGTCCATAATGATGCGCTTTTGCTGCTTCAAATGCTAAATGTTGTGCGTTAGTTACTGGATGATCCGATTTTAACGCTACAGGTATTCCAGCATCTGCCAATATTTTTGGTGACCTCGTACTTGCTTGAAATGCTTCCTTTTTATACCCCCAATTGTCCGAAAAAGTTGCTATAGTAATTTGAGAATTTGCTCGTTTGATTACATCTGGGATACGATATGCATCTAATGCATGATGTAATGCTGAAATTGTAAAATTAAATTCTAATGAATGTCTTATTATGGCTTCCAAATCATGTGTCTAAAAAAAGGGGAGGGAATATTATTATTATAATTCTTAAAAACCGATTCTAACAAAAAAAAAAAAAAAAAAAAGGAATTACCTCATAACAGTGTATATTTAATTTAGCGTCGCCTCTAAATAAAGCCATTAAACTATCATATTGTAAATCTTCAGGAAAAGGACTATCTAATTGTACGTTATTATTTGATGATAATTTACTGGCCGAATCACACCAATCATTTTGCTTTCTAAAAAGGGTTCTGACTTCTTGAAATTTCTTTCTAAATAACCAACCTTCACCTAGACGAGTAGTTGGTATTCGATTTTGGAATCTATAAACTTTTTTTGGATTTTCACCGCATGCCATCTTTAACCATCTCCATTCCTTTTCTTCAGATGGATTTATACCATAATTTATTCCCATATCATCTACAGATAATGTTGAAACATTTCGCATTTTTATTACATATCCTTCTCCTCCCATCAAATTTCCGCTACCTGGTATTATTAATGATGTGGTTACTCCTCCTGATGATATTATTCTAATCGCTATAAAATATATATGAAATTATTAAATTTAAAACAAGATAAAAGCAATTTTGTATTTTATTTATTTATTTATTTTTGGACAACCAACCAGGATCACTCGGATTTAACGCATCCTTAGCTCGTACCTAACAAAATGATGAAATGATGAAATGTTCAAAAATATATATAAATATATATATAAATAAAATATAATTTTATAAGTACTAACAAATGGTGTAAGCGGATCTGTCTCTTCATTAACATCATCCGTTCCTTTTAAATATGGCCATGAAGATACTCCTGCATGGCTAAACATAAGAGGAGAGAGATATCATATGTATATGTTACATTCTTTTGGAATGTTCTAAGAACTTTATTGAATTTTATATTATTAAAAATACCTATGCATATCAATTAATCCGGGAGTAACAAATTTTTTCTTTAAATCAATCACAACGGTGTCATCATTTACGTTAATATCATTCTTTTTTTCATCATAATTAGTAATTTCACTAATAATACCATTCTTTAACAATACATCGCCAAGAAAATCTTGTCCAATACCATCCAATATTCTGGCATTTTTTAATAAAATATCTTTAGTGCCAGGGACAAATCTAGGATTACTCGTCCTAGATTGTATATGATTATTATCAGGTTTAATCCTTTTTATTTCTTCACATTTTGATAAACCATAATTATATGTTTCATAAGATATACCACTCGAGTATTGCGTGATTTTATTTGAAGTATTTGTATATCGAATTATATATGCAGTGTATATTGAACTCGAAATTACTAACGCTAAAAAAAGGTTTAAATACTTTTTTATTCTTTTATCATGATGATTTTCAAAGGATTGGATAACATCATTCTTTAACATTTTTTTACCCTCCATTAAAAAGCGGAACCGTTTTTTATTGTCGGCGATAAAAATTTAATTCTTATTTATAATGATCAAGTTGATAATCCATCTTCAAATCTTATGACGAGATATCACGTTACTCAATATATTTATATTCCATGGCAAAAAAGATCCCCATAGTGCTTTGTTATTTTCTCCATGTTCTAATGTTCTAACAAACTATTCAAAGATATTTTTATTTAATAAATTCTTTGTTTTTATCAACTCATTTATTAGAAGAAAAAGTAAATTCTATTATTTATTACCCTTTTATTTTTTTCTTATTCCTAACACTAAATGTCCAATAAAAAAAGCTTTTAATCGATTGTTCAATTATTGCCATAATAATAATAATAATTAAATTTTTTTGGGGGATTCTTCATTTCAATATTTTTTTTTTTTTTTAAAAAAAATAAAAATAAAAAAGGATTGCTTTTTTTTTTTTTAAAAAAAAAAAAAAAAGACAAATAAGACAATATATATATATATAAATCATGTGCTTTATGAAAACTTCTGCTATAAATTTTTTTAAACTAAAAATTCGGTTTTTGATCATTCTTCGAGAACCATTTTGCTATTTGATTTTTCCGATTCTCTGATCTTTTTACCAACGGTTTTGAGTTTCATTGCATCTGTGATTATTACTTGTTGATCAAATTTTACACCAAGATCTATTAGAAATAGATCAATTATCTTATTGTATCCCATAATCAATCCCATTACTTTATATAAAGCTTTATGAGCGCTAGCCTTTTCAGTGATGGTAACCCTTGTAGAGGTTTCGCCTGTCGATTCAAGTTCAATGGTCCAACTACCACTGAAATGAACTCCTCCTTCACGTACAATCTAATCATCAATATATAAATATATATATATATTGGTACCTTTTTTTTAATAATAATAAAAAAAATATTAAAAAGAATTACCTCTCTTTTTAATAATTTGCCTTCCAAACGTTCTATTACGCGAAATTTCATGTTCATGTCGCCGCATGGTGAGAATTCCCTAAACCACTCAAATCCGTCAGGTGGGATATGTCCCGGTGGGTTGGTTTCAATTCTTGTTATATTGGACCTCCATCGTGGGTAAGCTCCAAACTCCACTATGGCATTCCAAAGTTTACTGTACGGTTGAGCATATTCTGCAGTTCGGCTGCACACGTGGTCTTTGGGTATTAAGAAATTACCTATCATTACAAGGGCAGGTACTACTACAAGCAACAAGAGAGTATGTATTACCGAGGAAGGAGATAAGGAAGACAAGAGAATAGAAAGTCGGTGTGAAATGAAATCTAAAGTGGATGGAAGGTCTGACAATAGAAACATTTTGTTACGTGTAAACTAATAACTATAAAGATTAAAGTAAAAATAACGCGCGATAATATTAGTTCTATTTTAAAAAGGATTTTTTGTTGATGATAAAACACTTTGGGAAATTATTTAGGAGGAAAGTTTGTAATTGCCAAGAAAATTCTGGGTTAAAAAAGAAAAAAAAAAGAAAATGGAACCTATATTTCAATGAATACAAAACTCATCGTTACAGCTGTCATTCATGGGAATTTCAATACATGAATTATCACCATCTTTCTATTCGTCGGTCAATAGTTTCCGATTGTGGAATATGAAACTTTATTTCAAAAATTTTGCTTATCACGTGATAAATAATTGAAAAGAGGCTTGGAAATTCATTATAGATTTATCATGACAAAAACAAAAATTCGAATATAATCAAATAGGATAACAAGTATATATATATATATATCAGTTAAGTTAGTTTGAATTATGAATGCAATTTCTATAATTATTTCGATTAACAAACGTCGTCTTTTGATAATTCTTCTCAACAAGATTCTAAGAGATACATCAATTTTAGATATTTGCTATACTTGGCTGGAAAAAATTGAATCATTGGACCACGTTCTTTGCAATAAAGGAGGAGATATGAATATTCAAAATATATTGAACCAGATCATATAAGTTGTATCCCTAAAGATATTATATGACTAGTCATTCAAAAACAAATCTTGATCTGGGGCGTTTACTATTATTTTGGCTAGAACAATTGTGCAAATTGCTAGTATTGTTACATAATGTATAAAAACTTGCTAATATTGTTGTTTCCTTGCTGTATAGGAAGTTGTATTACGAGATCTATCGAATAGTTGATCTTCACGCGCTTTAAAAAAAAATATCAGCTTCAGGAAGTGAACGTAACCTTAAAAAATGAGAAGTGATTGGAGAAATTAAAAAAATCACCTATACTCTAATTATTTGGGGGGGTTTTCAATATAACAATGATATATGATATATGATAGTTATTTTTCGTCAAACTTAAGGATCGCCACCACTAACAAATTTCGGATCTTTCACTTGGAATACAAATGTAAAGGACAATGAATTAATGAATGAATGAAAATAGATGAGCGAGTAAATGAATGTAGGCGAAGAACATAGAGGACTAGTACACCCATGAATTTCATTTCTATGAAAATTATGCATAACCAGAATCAGTAGACCCTTTGTCATTGAAACTCTTTCAAGGTTCTTTTCATTTCCACAAAAGAGGGAATGAATGAATGATTGATTGAATTGAATTGAATTGAATTGAATTAAATGAATGAATCATATTCGTACGGATACATTTCTGAATGAATGATGAATACAAAGTATATAAACAAAAAACAACTGAATCGAATGTACAAAATCTCACTCTATACCTTCCATCATTTACAAATTCTTTGAGGAAAAAAAAGTATAAAAAGTTGAAAAATAAAAAAAAATAAATAAATTCCGGAAAGTATAACCACTTTATTATATATCCTTTGTGAGACGTTACTGTATCACTATCATAAATAAAATGTTCACGTTTGATAAGTTTAATTTGAAAATTATTGGTGCTTATTTTTCAAAGTCAAAATCATATAAATAATAATAAAGGAATGATAAAGTGAATACAATAAAATATCAATAGTAATACACTTTTACTTCGCCAAATAGTACATTAAAATCAGATTAATCGGCCTAATATAACCGATTAATCGGTTGAAACCAAGCTTGGAAGAAGTAAAGAAGTGGGTTAAGGATAACTATCAAGATGTACGAACTCGGGAAAGGATTAGCGTTGATGGGTCATTATAATACTATAGTTATTACAATACAGTATTATTTTATTTTAACGTAAATTACATTCTGCAAATGGGTCTTGTTAGAAAAGGGGGGAAACTGCCGGGAAAAATCAAATTTACTTTTATATTCCAAAAATGATTTTCAGGCCGAAATATGTTCAATTAACTCATTTTTTATTTTTTCTGGCAGTTTCCCATATGATGCTATTAAAGAGGAGATGAATAGAGTATAGTATATACGTGAAATGATGTTGAGTATATATATATTTTTTATGCTCAACTGCCATAACCTTCCAAAATTAATGAAAAACCCAAAATTGGCAAAATTATCAGATCACTAAATCTTTATTTATTTCAACCGCAGTCACTGTTGTTAATTTAGCCGTTAATTAAAAAAGAAATTTCGTTTAAAATATTTTATTTGAATAACATTTGTCAAAAATTATAATAAATTGATCCAATGGATAATTTAAGTTAATAAATTTTCATGATAAAATAATACTAAGCTATTTTTTTATGACTTCTATACCAATAAAAATAGATCAAGAATGATGGTATTATATCAATTTTCATAAAAAAAACCAAATATGTATAAAGCACAGCGATTACATGAAAATGAAACAATTAAGAAAAAGTGCAAAGGTTTTGATAACTAATAATTAGTGTTCTGAAGCAACTCTTGTGTATTTTTATAATAATAAAAAATTCGGCTTTCATATGATATTATTCTATTGTCTTATTCTTTCTCCCTTTTTATGTTTTCCCATCTCCTCTTCCACGCCCTCGCGATGGTAGTCCATTACCAAAATGTCCTCCACGACCCCTAAATAAAGAACCGTTCCCATTTGATCCTCTTGAATTACCATTAAAGCCACGATAAATAACCGCTCCTCCTATATATTTTGTAGAAGATTGTGAACCAGCTGATCGTGATCGATTTTGATGTGATTGTGACGCTGATATGTAACCATTCGATCCACCTGCACCACGAGGACGATTAGAAGGAATAACTTGTCTCTGATATGAACCATTCGTAGGATGATTATTTGAAGAATGCATAACGCCTCTACCACTTCCACGATTGTAGGAATTATAATGAGGGTATGAATTGTGATACATATGATGTCCATTTTGCACTGATTGATGATAAGAACCTGTATTATGTCTTGATCCTCCATTATATGAATGACGATCAAGAAATTGTGGACGTGTCAAGTTAAGCAAAGAGTTGGAAGGAACTGTCATTCCACGATAATTTGAACATCTATGGAATATGAAGATCATATTACAACCAATCACAAATTTTTTCAAGTTAATTAACAATAAAGAAAATAAAATAACCAACCTATCGCTTAACGTGGACCCACTCATAAACGTGGTATCAAATACTACATCGATATTGGCTTTTTCAATACCAACGATTGTTCCTTTTGATGCGATTGGTACACTTCCGGTGTCTTTAACAAAAACGACTCGATCACCGAGGTTGAATGTTTGGTTTTGCAAAATAGTTGGTGCATGAGATGGTTTTAATAATTGCTTCATTTTATTATATTATTAAATTTTTTTTAAAAAAAGAGAGTGGAAAAAGTGTTAATTTAATTATTAATAATTTATTATATACATGAATAGATAATAAAAATAATTTACATGTCGCAATAATTTTTTAACTTCAGATTTAGTAAGTTTACGTTGTTCAAGATACTCATCAGCAGCCTTTTCTATGTCTTTTATTGCTTCCTATATTAATTTTAATAAATCATTTTAGACTCGCAATAAAAATCATCCACTGGAAAAAGAAACACGATATAATATGTAGAGTATCTTTTTTTTTTACCTTATCTAATTGCTCTGCATCCAATGATACCTTTTCGAAATCTCTTACTTCAACAGTTCTAAGCCAATCCTTAATAGCATGGATTTTGGACACGGCTTCTTCTTTGGGATAAAAGTCTTCTGCAGTATATATTTCTATGAAAATACATGTTAGGATAAAAAGAATATTTACGCAAATCATCGGAATAATATGTATATCTACCATCTTTATGCTTATTTTCTAAAGCTTGAATAAATTCTGGGAATTTATCCTATACAATATAGAAAAATAGTAACCAATGATTAATTAATTTAGTGATACAAACAAGCATAAAGATTTGGTAAACACAAAACGTTCCATGTTGAAGACAAACCTTATATTCTGCCAAAATTCGCATTGCTCTTTCGCTATACTCCCAAGAATCTTTATTTTTCCTGGTATATCCCAACACCTTTTGTTTCTTTGCCTCAAATTTTAAATTAAGGCCGAGATTGATTCGCTGATCGGTTGATTTACAACTAACATGCAAACTAGCAGTCAATTTGCTTAAAGTTAAACCACTCATACCCAATTTTTTAGCAACGGTATATGAAGGGAGATATTTGGTTCGACTAGCAAATTTCTTTGCTATTTCTGATCCGAAATCTGGTTCTTTAGGATAATTTTTATCAACAAGCTAAAAAAAAAACTTTAAAATTAAAGAAAAAACATGAGATTTAAAAACCTTACGACGAAGTACTTACCATCTTTACTGATAGGTACTTATCTGCATGTTGAATAATTATCCCAGGACATCCATAATAGGGACTACCCAAATAGAATAGTTGAGTTTCAATTGGAAACTCCTCGGCTAATGAAATAGCAGGTTTTTCTTTATATCTAGGATCCTCACATTCAACAGCATCCACTGTCGTTTGCATCGCATAATCGATCTCCTCTCCAACGCTAGCATATTCTTTAACCAATGCGCCACTTTGCAATCTTTTCATACCTATTAAATTTAGAATGTACATTAGTATGTTAAATCATAGTTATCAAATAATTAATTATTACATACCTTTAAGCATCAAAACATGAGCAATAACATTCACTGTTCCAGTCACGGACCCAAATCTTTTATTGTAAACTTGTCCGCATTTATCGGCCTTCCGTCGCCAATCATCTTGTTTATTTTGATATTTGTTAACTTGAGGTTGCCCATTAGATGGTGTGTACAGCTCGTATCTCCAAGTTTCATCAGATACAGCTTGCAATAATCCCTCTTGAAGAAAAGGCCAACCTAATGAAAATAAATAAGCATGATTAAAAATTGCATGAAAAATGTGTATTAATTTCATAGTTTAACATACCAACAAATATTCTCTTGCCAAGTTTTTCATGAGCTAAATCTTCAGTTGACATGTCTGCAAATTGATCAATTAATGTAATAACCATAGTTTCGTTTCTATATAACGTTCGAATGACGTGATTGTTAGTTTCCGATATGAAATGCTTCGAAAAGGAGAGTATATAAAGAATTTAAAACATGCTTGCTCTCTGAATTAAAAACATTAACTCCATGATGTTCAAGCTTCGCCGTATAATTAAGCGTTTCCAATGATGGGAAACCAGCCATTGCTTCAACCCCCAATCGAGCTCCATCACAAAGCCCTTTTATAAGCTTCAGACCATCCAAAGTTGGGAGATGATAAGGTTCAGTACGACAATGACAATGTTCAAGATCTTAAATAGAAAGTTACAATTATTGTTATGCATTGTAATAATATGGTAACATGAAATGTGAGCAAAAATTAACGAAATATATTATATACTTTGAAAAAAACCTGGTAATGAAGAAGGGTAGTTTTCGTCCAGACTTGGATCATATGTAAACAAAAGGCAATCGCCAAAACTATTCCTTCGCTTTTCTTCTTCGGACAATTCGTCTTCCTTGGCTAATACGAATAAAAAAAAATTATCGATTTAAATATAAGTTAAATAGAAATTATTTTTGTATTTCATAAAGCTTACCGTTCAAAGCAGCGACTAATTTTTTTTGATCAATGAATGGGATATTAACAACCGCTTCCCAATCCTGCTTTTTACCATTCATATCAAGTTCGAATTCTTGGGGATAAAAATCTATTATTGGAGAGTTAGGATTAGTCAACAAATCCTGTCGAAATAAAAATAAAAATAAAAATAATATAAAAAGAGGATAAAGGTAACAATAAGTACGCTGTTTGGTTATTAAGTAGTATATAATTATCAGGAAATCAATTAAATATAATACCTGATATGGAATGGGTATAAGATTTTTGCTTCCTTCGGGCAATACACCCATTAATTGCTCAAACGGTTTGAATGGTCTTTCAAGTTCAAAATCAATATTGAATCTCTCCAAATCATGTAAATCTGAAATCTTTGGCGAGTAATGATATGGGTAAAACCATCCCCAAGAAGCTACACCCCTGTAGTAATAGTGCAAAACCCATTGTAATCCTTCAATATATGAACCTACAATTCTATCTATCTGTACTGGTTCGTCATAATCAATCTTTGGTTTCTCTTTATAATAATCTCTCTTCCACTTAATAAATTTTTCTTCATCATTCTGTCTTTCTCTTTCTTCAAATGATTCGACATCCTCCTCCTCATCAACAACTTTTGCCTCTTCATATTTCTTAAAAACCTTATATCTCATTTCATCTTCTGACCCATCTCCTTCAACGTATAAATGTTTGTCTTCCGTATCTTCATCGTATTCAACTAAACATTTAATGCCCAAGTCTTTAGCAAGATCCTGTATAAACTTACGATCTCTTGCGGGATAATCAACAGGAAAGTGAATTGAATCCGAAGCACGTGTTACGACTAATTTTTTGATCTGATTATAAATTTCTCTTTGTTTCGTCGTTAGTACTATATTAAATAAAACGAAAAAAAAGAATGTGTCAATGATTTAGGCACGCATAATTGACATACAGATTATACATACTTAATTTCTTTCTTTTATCTTTTTCCAACATATCCGGATATTTTCTCTTTCCTTTAAACCATTTTGCATCTTCCATATTACTTTCATAAACATTTCTTTCAAAATTAGATAATACTTTAAATATCATCTCAAGTCTGCTCAACTCTAATTTTCCTCCATCATTAATATAACCACCTTTGAATAATCATAACTAGATTAAAATTTAGGAAGAGATGCAAACCTAAATATTTTAATGGTAACTTACCGGCATCCGGTAAAACTGTTTTGTACACGTGAAACATCAATCCAAGTGCCCCTTCGGCTATATGAAGATTGGGCAAATGTGGTAAAAAATCGTTTCCAACAAATAATGCTAACAGGACAAAATCGTCTATTATTCTTTCGAGATCATAATTAAAAGGAAGTTTATCCCTAAGTACTGAAAACTCAAGATCCAAATATTCACGCATTAATGACAAATGCATGAGGTAGAAATTTTGAGATTCAACCCGTCTAATATTTAAGAAATTAAAGTTTAGCAAAACAATGCAAAGTATGAGTCATTTAATATATTTATCGGATGCATTTAACATACCCTGTTTTCTTCTTTCTACTACTCGGTCCATAAGTGACCTCTTCTCTTAGTAAAGCAAAATGTGGATCATGACTTAATAGTCCAAGCATAATTAAATCAGCATCCAATCCATAAAGGCAATGTCTAACATTGGGATTGTAATTATCTTGGGCTTTCGTGATACGAATATATTCCATAATTTTATGTTCTCCCTCACCCGGTACTTCGTGACCAGACAGTACTATTTCAATGTTTCTCCAATTCGAGTCTTCTGTTACTTTCTTATTTATAAAATATTTAAGTTGGCGTGAAAGTTTTTCCATAAATTCTGTGCCTAAATGAACAAACAAAATTTTAATTATTTGAGAATTCAATCAAATTTTAATTTAATTTAAAAGAGAGGTTTTAACAGCTCAAAGCATAAAATGAATCTAACCTGGTGTAATACAATTACTATCAAAAGGTGCCTCTTTTGGCAACGATTCCCCCTTAGCTTCAGCTTTTTTGACAGCTTCTGCGGCTTCTTTAGCAGTTCTGAATCGTCTAGCACGTTGTTGATTCATTTTGGCCCTTGGAGCAACGCCTGCATGAATTTCCAATTCGATTCACAATTTAATTACAATAACTTTAAATGCATGACAAACTGTTCAATAAATACCATCGATGGCCAAAAAAAATAGTTTTTTCGGTTTTATTTTTGTAAATAAATGATCGATATAGTTAAATATATCAAGGAAAATTTTGTCCTCGGAAACACGGAAATGTGCATCCGTATCATTTGGATGAGAACAATGATGAATAATGCCATTCATGTCAAGGTATAAGTTATCTACAAAGGTGTCAACAATTTATGTAATAATTATTATGAAATGTTAAAATACATTAGGAAAAAAGGAAAAAAAAAGGTACCAAATTCTGGAATCCTAAAAAACCCAAAATAAGGGAGTTTTCGAAATGGTAAAACAAAAAAAAAGTTATTTGTAAAGTCATGTCTAAATAAAAATAATCGTGTTCAAATTCTTGCCTATTCTCCGTAATTAATTGACTGCATAACGGATATCTTTCACTAAAGAATGAAATAATTGCAAGAGATATTACAGTATTTTAAAAGATGTGACTCGAATGAAAATCATTTATTTTATTTAAGGAAAAGTACAAAATAGTAAATGGTTACCTCATCCATCGAAAGAACTTTGGAATCCCCATTATTATTTGGACTTTTTGTATAAATTTCTCAGTATAATACTAAATAAACTCGTTGGATCCTGTACTTTTATAGCTACTCAAAAACTCTTAACCCTTTCTATACTCCAAATCGCTAATCTGAACACGAGTTCAAGACAACGTCTCTCTCTTGCTCTTCACAGGTTTGAAAACTACTTGGGAAAATTAGCATACTCTAAATTCAAATATAACGTGTTTTTGCCGTTAGTTTTTATTTCATAATGTCTGCATCTGAATTTTTCATAAATTATTAAATTGTACAGCATAGTACCACTGGAACCATCACTTGATTTCGGCTTATTCAATCATATGACATAAATAATTTTACCTAATTAATCCAATAAATCATATACTAAATATATTTTTTGAAAATTAAATAGGAAAAATTAAAAAAATATGATAATGAATAATGAAAAATTAGTTCATTATTATTTGGGTCTAACTCGAATAACTTTAAGATTTCAAATATTCCTCTAGCAACTGAAACTCAAAATCCATGATAAATTAGAGAATTGGTTAAAGTTGTGAATTACCATTCGTTTAGCTCACGTGTCCGAATAATACGAAATCATTTCAGTAAATTTATCAAGATCGAACATTACATTATGGCGGAATTGTCCAAATTAGGTCTTCATAACCGAATCCATACGTTTCTTTGGTATCTTGGTGTTACTTTAAGAATGAATAGTTCGGTAGTTGTATTAATAAAAGAAAGATGCATAGATTGATGATTAACACCTAATTTTGGATCGTCATCATTGTTTAAAAGGATTCCCCCCCAAAAAACTTGCAAATTTTTATTTTTATATATTACTTATTTGACATTACGCGCCAATACTTACACAACATACATAACATATGATGAATATAACCTTGTCCCACGATTGCACTGTAACAGTTTTTTTATCATTAATACGGGACGATAATCAGGTTAAGGCTTATGATAAACACCGGAAAAAAACCTGACCATAGGAAACTTGGCACATGGGCTTTGAAATAACGACGCGGGATATAACGGAAATTGGGAATAAAGTATCTCGTAAAAAGTTTTCATATGCAAATGAACAAAAATAATAAAAATGAAAAGGTCACCACGTTCCGCAGCATGTTTAAATGTGTCACAAAAAAGGTGGAAAATAAAGCATTCGTATAGATAATGATTGTATCTCAATTATTCGGAAGTACATTGCAGCGCAGAAGGAATACAACTGATGGGTTGTATGAAATTAATTCGTCATAAAGTGGGTTTAACTTTATTAGCTGCAGATTATCCAACAACGTAAATTTTAGGCAGAATTATGACAGTGAAAACAAAGGCGTGAAAATTATGTCGATTGTGTTACCTTATCGTTACACCCATATATAAACTTTGTCCTTTTTATATATCTGATTTTCCATAATCTCACCCCCGAATCCAATACTTTCGACCAACGACAAAGTAATCATTTTATCTCCTTCACTAAACAAGACAAGTCTTTACCTTTCCCTTTATATTCGCATAGAATAATATTCGTCAAGATTCATCATACTAACCTCCCCTCAAAAACTTGCGTCTCTCCTTGAACATTTTCAAAATATTGCTTAATAGTTCACCCCTATTTATTTAGGTGCTAAAAAAAACTAACTTACCCCTTGTTAGCTCCGAATCTTTAAACTTGATAAAACCTCAATTCGGTTATAAATAGTAGTGAACATACGTGTATATACAACAAGTACCTTTGGTAAATATCCAACGGTACTATATAACTAACCACCGAAAAAAAGTTTTGAAAAGGAGAAACTGATGATGAATCGTGATCGTGGTTCAAACTCTGCCAAAGTTCGTAAACCACGAGTTAAAACTAGTGCTAGTAGCGCTAGGCTCGATATTCCAAAACAGGCACCCCCACTTGCGCGCAGCAACACGTTGCCCGTCAATCACACAACTTATCCTCGCGTTCCTCGTGCTAATTCTCTAGGATTTACGGATAATAACGAGAAGGCTAGATCTGACGACGGTTTTCACTCCGATTCCGATAAAGATAGTAATCAATCTGCAAATTCGAACATAAGCATACGTAGCGGTAAAAATTATCTTATCAAAACCCCTTCAATCAAGTCGGATGTCGTCGCAAAAGTACGTCCAAAATCCTCTCTTGGAACCATGTCGGATAACTCATCGTCGGATAAATCAAAGGTTGAACCCGTTGATGACATTTTTCGAGCTGATAGGCAAGCAGGAGACGCAAGGAAGAATAGAAAGGTGAATAAGTTATAAAGAGATGCGATGCTTGCCTTATTTATTTATTTTTTTTTTGTGCGCGCATGATTTATTGAATTTGACCTACTGATTAGTCCAAAATATGGTAATTAATAATTTAATCAGCAGGTCAAGTAAATTGTTTATTTTGGGGAATGGTGATGCTAATAAATTTTTTATTTTTTATTTTTTTCCTTGTAATAGATTGAAGATTTGGAAATATCGATAAAGTCATTGATGAAAGTTAATGTAGAATTGGAAGCTTCTAATAAAAAACAAGCTGCAGAAATTCAAGCATTGAAAAGAAAACTTCATATGTATGTTGGTTATGTGTTTATCATGAGAGAACCTTTTAGAATTTATATGTAAATATTTTTTAATAAAACTTTCAGTAATAACTCATTCATGTCGATATATGGATCCGATAATGATGATGATGATGAATTATTGACTCCTTTATCAGAGGTATTTTTTTTTTATTATGAGTTAACTGATTCTTTCAAAGAATACATCAGAATTTATTAATAATATAAAATTATCCTTGATAAGATCGATTTGGCAGAAATTGATAAAGAAAATGATGCTCGATTCCGTCGAATATGTATGGTGATTGATGAATTAACCCGAGATGCAAATGATGCTCTTAATTATACTTCGAAGATAGGAGGCAGCAGAGTTTTGTCAAGTGCTCAATTAGGTTCGTTATAATTAAATTTTTAAATCGTTATACATTGACATTTTTATTCCTAATCAAGAGTATCTCCTTTATTTCTCACTAGATTCTGATAATATGGAGTTACAAAGCCACTACAAGGATCAATCCAGTAAAATATCAGATAATGTTATATTACACTCCTCTAAAAACTTAAAGATCCACAAATATCATTCAGCAGAGAAAAGTAATAGTGGTACTATAGCAGCTAATAAAATAACTTCAAGTTCGAGTGAAATTAATAAACAAACCTCGGTAATTAATCCAAAGATAATATCTACAACCGAAAAAGACAATACAAATTCAACAACGGTTCAAACATCCAATTTGCCTTTGGCTGAACCTGTTGAAGAAAACAATAAAAGATTGCAGGCAAACATAGAACGTGCTCGCACAGTAGTTACTGAACTTTTATCCCTCGAAAAAAAAGACAATAATAATGTAAATAATAATAACACATCATCTTACACTCCACATAATTCTGAGCGTAAAGGTCTCAGTTTGCTGCTACCATCTCAAAACGATCATTCAAAGCATATGACTCATTCAAAACATGTGACTCGTAGTTCGATTGGCGGTAGCGATTCACCACAACCATCCCCGAGGATGATTCTTTTATACGAACTTCAGGAGTCGTTGGGTATTGGCAATGCGGAATCTTCAAAATATTTGAAGGAGAATCGAAGGAGTTTACCAGTAATGTCATCCAGCAAGATTAAAATTATTTCACCACCCGAAGAAGAAAGTCAAGAAGGAGATGATTCAAGACCGATACGAAGTCAAACTCAAACTGATACAATTTTACGTCGTCGATCATCACCGAATTTTAGAACTTCTTCGTTTTCTCTACCAAAATCGAACATGTTAATAGGAGTAACGGATCATGCCAGCGCATCGTTTGTAAAAAATGATGATTCCGTTCTGAATTCTCATACGCATGGACCTAATGTTGAGAAGCGCTCAATTTTGGCATCTTCATGGGTATATATAACAACACCTTTTCGAACAGAATAATTTTATTTTTTGAAAACTGTTTTGGTAAATAAATAATATGATTGATAACAAAAACTTTTTGATTGAGCAGGGCTTACATCATTTATTAAGTCCATATGATCAAAAATGATCAGGAAATGGTATTTCAATATCATTTATCCCGAATTTTTGAACTCTCATTTTGATTTCCTTATTTTTGAAATTTTTAATATCGTAAATATATACAATTTTTTTTATAATCATAATAGAATTGCTACTGTGACATATAGAACTAAACTAATCATTAAATATAAGGGAAAAAAAAAGTTGAAAAAGATGATGAGAGGGGAAAAAGAAAGGATTTTTTATGGTGTATTTATATAATTTTTTTTTTAAATTTTTTACTAGTATGGTTCCTCCCTTTTTTTTGATTTTTTTTTTTGATTTTTTTTTTTCATTTTTTTTTTTTTTTTTTTTTTACGAATTTAATTTGTTTAGTCTAAAAAATCCAATTATAAAAGTAAAATTAACAATTGGATGTTTAGATATTACGATTGAAATATTTCAAATTCTCATAATTTTTTCTTTGATGAACAAATATTAAAAAACCTTTATTGTTATTTGTCAACTAAAATATTAATTTAATACTAAAAAAGTTTGGTTTT